GAGGCGGTGACACATTCGGGCCATCACCTGACCGGGGCTGGCAAGTGCCTGATATGTCCAGCTGACAGCTGAGCTTTGGGGGGGGGAGAGGAGGCACCCATGGGTGTTAAAGGAAAACAAAACTGCGTGTGCGGGAGGGCTCAGGGTGGAGGGAGAAGGGACCGGTTGTGTGCGAGGGTTCCCAGAAAGCCGGGCACGCTCCCTTGTGCAATCATCCCTCCAGGAAAACAACTGGTGCTTTTCCTGGTGTTTTCCACTTGTAAAGCTTGCAAAAGCTCCCGCTCGGCTCAAGGGCTTTGGCAAAGAAAAGGTGTTTATGGCAAAGGGGGACAAGGCACGGGGTGAGACTGGGTTTGCCCCAAGCCGCACAGCAGGGGAGCGGATTGGGGAGCGGAGGCACCCAGCCCAAACTCGGCCAACAGCCTCGTGCAGGGAAAAATGACACCCGGTGCTGTGGGACCGGTGGGGGAATGGAAAAGTCCCAGGGGGCTTCCTGCCAGGGCCGAATTATCCCCTCCAGCAAATCAAGGACAGTGTGTACCCCCCTCTGGAACCCTCCACCCGCTGCTGGGCATCCTCTCCAGCGTGTCCTGGACATGCCATGCAAGCCCATGCATCCCAAAATAATATAAGGTAATAATTGGGATAGATAATTAAGATAATATATGGGACAGGACACATATGTTATTATTATATTATTATTTAGGGGATCCAGGCATCTCCCAGGACAAGCAGGGGGTGGTGCCAGCTCTCATCCCCCCATCCTGGGGGACCCAGACCAGTCCCCAGCGATAACTTGGGGACATCAGCGAACCAGAACTGTGATGGGGAAGTCGTTGAGAAGGATTTGTAGCAAAACAGTGGGAAGCTGGGAGGAAAACCTCGCTGTTGAGATAACGGTTGATGGATGTGGTCATTCTCGCTAACTGGAGGGGAGGAAACAGGCTCAGGAAGAGCAGAGAGATCGAGCTGATGGGCAGGGGCTGAGATTAAAGACAAGGATGAAAAAAAGCCCCTGATTCCTGAGCCTGACTTCACTCTGCTTTATGCTGGTATTTTAGCTCAGGGAAGTGCTCTTTTGGGTTTTTTAAAGCTGACACGGGCACTCAGTGAGCCCAGGCA